GGTCACCCTGCAACGTCTACTCCCGGTACTGCCATGGGCTAACTACCTGGCATCACTTTCTTCTGACTCTAGTCCTTCCCGGAGAGCTGCTTGGTTTCTTTCCATTGCGCAACGTGTATTCTGGCTAGAACTTCCAATATTCATATGAAAAGTCCCACTGAGAGTATATATACTGAGAAGTCCCACTGGGTGTGCCAAAATTGTTCACCCGTTTGATGTTTGCTTCTGTGATGGTAGGGTAAAGTTCCCCATTGCCTCGAAAACCATTGACTGGTCAACAAGTTAACTTTCTTTAGTGTGCGAGCGTGCCACTGCTAGCAATGAAAAGTCCTAGCAGACTTTTGAAATGGATAACTTGCGCCCCAAGTTATTGATTTCTAAACAAGCGAATGTAAATTTGGGTAAGGAATATCTCCCAAGTAAGTTCTTTTCCTACCTCAGATTGGTGAGGACTTCATAATTTTTCACAGTACACGATTGGTAGTTCTAGCCAAAATAAATAGTAAGAAAATGAACTGTTTTAAGGCAGAACTGCCTTTTACAAAACTCAAAACGAAAGAATCAACTCTAGAAAGACAAAAAGAAGGCTGGACTTCCATTTTTGCCTGGATAGAAGCTTCTGACCCGGACTGGACTGGGTATGCCTATGCTAGACTTGACTGTCCACAACTTCAACTGCTAAGCTTTAGTTGTAAATCGATACCAAAGTTCAAGTTTGGGAGAGCTTTAATCTATTTCAAACCCTGGAAGGCTTTTTGAGTGGGCAGAATTGCGGCCTATTCAGTCTGAAAAAGGGCAGAAGTGGCTGGACTTGAGGATTACTGAGTTGGAACTGCACTGTGGTACCTGTTCTGCTTGGTCAGGGCTCTCCATAAATTTGTTAAGGTTTTCATATTTGTAAAAGAAACCTAGACTCTGCTTGTTTTGGCTTTTGCTGAACCAAATTTGTAACGAGAGAAATCTCGTTTTGAATGACTTTTTCTAAGTCTGAGACTGGAAGTTTCGATTTGTATATGGCTTCTTTCTTGTGG